AACCAGCGTGGCAGATCGATGACGAAGGTAGGCGAGATTTGTAACAGCCAGGTAGCGCTCCACCGCGATAGCGCAGAGGTGCAGGATTGAGACAGTGCAGAGGAGGACGTCGGCGCAAATCCAGACGTCACACAGGCCAAGACCTTAAAGTTCCAAAAGCAATCAGTTATATAATCCTGGTAGGAAGGTGCCAGACTGGGTTTTGTCTAAACGCTTTTGTAGCGATAATACTAACTGACTCGAAAGGCAGAAAATTACAGGGCAGATGAACTTCATGTCATCAAATACCAACACGTAAACCACAGAGTTTGCGCGGTGAGATTTGAAATAACTGTGTGCGGTTATGGTTTGCAACATATCTTGCCCGTTATAGCATTTGATAACGGATTTTACAGCAGATACGGTAAATTTCATATCTTATGAAATGTCAACCGAAATTTTGAAATTCGGTTTCGTTTCGAATATATTTATTAAGCATGGTTAAAATAGTGATGATCGTACAGCATAATAAAATTTTATTTCAGTCCCCTCACGATTTTGGTTTTCGAACAAGTTTCTGACCGAGTAATGGATGATTATATTCTGTAACTAGGTACTACTTAAGTAGTATGCATTTTTATTATTTATTTTTACTGATCGCAGAAATCCAAGTATATTTCATAAAAAGGTATAAATACATTTTTGACAAAGACACGGGAGGCTAAAATGAGCGTTCCTGGTTAATTAGCCATAATCAAGCAGTCATACCCAAGGGTGCTCCAAGGGTAGCCACCCCCTAGATTCAAGCTGGTGACCTTTTTACTTAGAAGCCAACGCTCCAACCACTGAGCCGCGGACTGGTTGCCTTTTCGGCTTCGATCGGAAGTATACACAATGGTAGATAGACGTTTACCGATAGGCTTTTGGGCGTTCATCGATTGAAACCGGCAAGGAAATAAGCCAGTGGTTAGAGCGTTTAATTTCTAACAAACAATGTCGTGGGGTCGAAACTCGGGTATGGATAGGTGATGACGGCTAACGAGCCGGAAATAACCACTCCACTCTCACTTGTCTTTTTCGTTGATGCATTTCTGCCAGTACTATGCTAGCGGCTTGTAAACGAGTCCAAAGGCACAACACAACGGAATGAGTGACTTCCGTACCGGTCGGTGAGCGCCCATTTACTATTATAGAAAAAATATGGACAAAAGTATTTATGCTTGTGCTCGTTTAGCTGTAATCAAGATCTTCTTCGAATTTACATTTGAAACAAGAGTATATCTGGTTTAAAGATGGCTCTTATCATGAAATTTTTTACTACTGCAATATATGCATCTATAAAGCAACGTACCTTTCCATTTATTAATGCTGATTATCAGTCATACAGTTTGGTCCATATCCACTACATTTTTATGAGAAATATATACTCACACCAAAGGGAAACATTTACGTTCCTTTACACAGTATGTATGTATGTAGAGACCTGTAACTCAAGTACAACGGCCGATAGAGTTAATCCTTATTTGACGATTTAAAAACAATTGTGAAAACAAGAGATCATGTTTCTACAAGTATACAATTCAAAGAAGGCGTAAGTTGCTACCAAACAACTGCAAGAAAGAACACTCTTTGCATGCTTTCTATAAAATGTGCATTAACAAGCCCGCAACTTGACGTGACTAAGATATCTTTCTATTTTGCGGTACGATTATCAATATTACAAATCTACTTATGTAATTAGTTCGAATCCAAAACAAATTTCACAATTTGGATTTACGTTCTATTAGACAGTTGCCATGTGTTTGAAAGTGTACAAGTCGTTAAATCTCAGGATTTAGAACGAATACTACAGTTTGTTCGGATCTGCATAGAGTCGAGAGTTGAGTGGTCGTTTGATCAAGCGAGGTTGACTTTAACGTACGGTGGCATGCGTAAGTTTGTGCCAAATACCCGCTTGGTCATATTTTATATCCTGAGATAAGAGGTCTTAAAGAGCAATTGACTACTAAAAAAGGCAAATTTCTCAGTGTAATTAAGCATGTGGAGGAAAGCAACTTTTGTATGCGTTTAAGCAACAAAAATGAATAAGTTCGAGGCTATTAGCGCAGTTGCTATTTATCAGATTATTAAAACCCCAGAAGAACCTCTTAGTAAGGGACTATCTTCGTCTTGTTTAAAAATACCTAAATTCTGGTTCCGCGAATTCGTAAAAAGAAAGAGTTTGCAGGAATATTTCTTTGAAAGTTCTGCTGACAAGTTGAACATCACAAAACGTGTCGAAATTACTAATTTTGGATCCCTAGTCATTTAGTAATTGGACAAGTAACGTTAAGGCAGGATATTCGAAGATAAATACTTGTAACATTCTACGTCACTTTCCTGTTTCACAAGCTTTAACAATAATAACAATGTTTGCTGAAATCCCACTGTCACTGTAAATACCATAGGCTGGTATTTCTAGTAGTGCCCTTTCATAATTAACGTCAGCAGTTTTCCCATTTTACAGAGCCACAGTCTAATTATTTCGAATTAGTTCAAACACTGCGCACGAAATATTTGTACTTTTAACGTTGATATTTCCGTTGGTCCCACGACAAAGTTTACCACCGTGGGATTAATGTTGCATTGCACTGATCCTCCCTCTGCCAACACTTATGTGAGGACCACGCGGCATTTACAAGTATCGAAAAAATAGAACACTTCATCACTAAAGCTTTCCAGCGGCGCAACCCGTCGTTTGCGTAATTTTTGCCAACATCCCTCCCACAGTTCGATGTTTTCACATTCGTAAAACGGGGAATCACATGGCGGAAATGAGGCAACTGTTGACTCCGGACAATTTAAATATTGCGTGTCTCCTAAAATTCCGAGTGAAAGCACTTGGGCGTGTCTGCAAGCCGCGTTTTTTGGCTCCTCGGCTTATTGCGACAATTGGGAAAATGCGCAGAAACTCGTTCCTGCGTGTGTTCTTGTGTAAAATGTTGGTGACTTGGTATTAGAAAAGGCAGATGTTTCAGATGCTTTAGTAAAGAGAGACATTGTGGAGATAACCAGGAAATACGTTACAGCGTAGGCTGAGGTACCGTCAAAACATGCATGCAACTGAAACTAGCTCCTCAACCCTGCACTATGCGTTGAAGTGGTATATTTTCTGGCATTTTGTCAGATGTTTAATACAATAACAAAATTAATTGTGTACTTTCAGTCTGACAATTTCGGATTCGTTAGTGAAAATGTAAAATAATGTTCAATGAATTCTCAAACTTTTTTTTTGATTCGTTTATTGTTCCAATCATCTTCCTCTGGAGGAGTAAGTAACAATCAACCAACTTTTTACAGCACGATTAATTCGTGTGCTACATAAGCGCATCATGTAAGGTGAAGTATTTTCAATTATGAAATGGAACTAGCCGCCTATAAGCCCAACTATCTATTTCGGCGGCCATATTTGTAGCTAAACATCATACTATCTGCCGACTACATTTTAATGAAATCCCTATATTATATGTTTATTCTTATATTTTTGGAGCTGCTTTGTATAAGTCCTCTTAAACATCATGAATTATGCAGTAGATACGCTCTCTCAAACGTTGTGAACCAAAATTGTAAAAAGTGCTTTTGTTTGAATATATTGCATAATGTAAACTGTAATATTGTGTATACTGCATCCTAATCCCGAAATATTTCAACCACGTCGGGATGCGACCTTTTGAACGAGCTTCTCTTCAGCCGTTTGCAAAAACAACAGTTTGTAGAAAATAACCAATAATGCATTCATAGTGTTTCGTCTTGATTTCTGATCTCCCTATAAACTCAAATATATTTAAAAGGAAGTTTGCACAGAAGTATGGTCTCTTGTACCGAGTTGGTCGCTAATGATGTCCTTTTTCTAAATGTTTCCGTGAAAAATATCACCTATTAAAGGATATTTGCCATTGCCGAAAACGTTTGTATACAACGTGCCGCTAAACTTGTTTTTGAAGATATGGTACTGCGTCGACGAAAAAGCAGCTTTTTCTCTACGCTATGAGGGATGCATTAAATGCTGTTTATAATGTTTTTGTTAGACATCTGCCATTTATGCAGAATGTAAGAAGATTAATAAATCATAGGTACGAGGATTCGTCAGTAGAATTTTCACGGTCCTACAAAGTCTCATTATTTGAAGTCATTTTTCGAAATTTCTAGCTAGGCTTTCACTGAGGAGCACATACCTTTCTAACAAATGTGAACACAAAATAATGTTTCCGTGCATGGTTTCTTAAAATATATTAGAAGATATTAGAGAAGCTAAACTCCATTGGAAGAACTACGACTGCATAAATAGTCATTATTCACAAGGTATAGTTTTTGCTGGAGATCGTAAAAATTCTTTCAAAATCGAGCATCCTGTTGTAAGACAAGACCGAAATCGAAATCGATTTAAACCGAAATCAAAGTTCTGATTTTTTGGCAATTCATTAATTTGCAAACCTGCTGTATATAATTAACAATGAACACTGCAGTAACTAAAATACCCATCACTCCCCACAAATAGGAAGCATTGATGCATGTAACCAACAAAGATTATAAGAATATAACAGATCAGTTTTCGGGTATTGAGACTTCAACCAGACAGCAATACCTAGGGTTCCTGCTAATAATTTCAAGAGTACACAAATCTGCGCTATTTAGCTCGCGCTTCGTCAGGTTAGATCCGCAATGGGAGATCACAGGCGAGTGACGTTTTTCTATATCTCCTGATTGCAAAATAGAAGATGCTCTGGTCCTCCACTCCGAGGCTCTGTCTATAGTCCTGTTAGAACGGACATAATCCTTATAGAGAAGCTTGCTCGCTGACGTCTAGTTCATCACAGGGTATACCTGAAAATCCCACTTTAGTCCCACGATGTGGAATAATAAGCCGGCGCCGGTAGAATATGGGTTAATTGTCCAGTCAGG